ACTTGCAGAGCATTGGCTCCAGGTTTTCACTGAATGATCATACGTAGAAAACAAGCAAGCGTTGGTTTAGGTGCTTATTCTGAACTATTCCCCTTCTTCACAGCAGCAGGACAAATTAGATCCGCATTCGAAGGAGAAATAGAGGCTATTAAGGTAGCACTATGCCAATTATGCTGCCTGGATGCGAAATTCACCAAAGCAATAATTCTTTCGGACTCACAGTCAGCAATAAATTCCATTGGAAGCAGAGAACCACCCAAAAGAGATGAGATATGCGAATGTAAAAAACTGCATCAGTTACAGTTCTTCAATAAATTCCCGGATATTGTGACATTATAGGCAATGAGCGTGCTGACACACTTGCCTAAGAAGGGGACCACAATTTTGCTAGGCATAGACCGCCCGATGTCTTTCCTCACAATGAAGACCTTAATCAGGAGAGAATTCAAGACCTCAAGGTTTAACGAACATAAAGCTCGAACAAAGGAGAAACAGTGGACAGTGGCACTCTCCGAAATAGCCGACTGGCCAAGAATCGAAGCCGTTGCTGAGTTTAGACTACGTACCGGACACGATTGCCTGGCAAAACACTTTCACAGATTAGGAGTATACACTCAGCCAACATGACCACTATGTAACCTACAGGAGGAAATGGAGAAAACAACCCACCTGATTCGGTGTCCAGCCCTAAAGACAACGACAGAGACCCAAAAATATTGGGAAGCCAGAATTCAACTAATGAACTACTATTAACTGTCCCACATATATTTTCCTTCCCCCCCCCCTCCCCCCTTCTTTGTGAAATCCAAAGTCAACTAAGGGGCTAATGTTAAATATCGTAAAGCCTACCATTTGAAATAATAATAATAAACATACCGTTTCATTGAATCGAATTCATTGGATTGAAGCTGTTGCGAATGCTACGCGAAAAACCCTTGACAAAACCTCAGCAACCCGCATGTTCCTGAAATTAGCCAAGATACCTCAACTCTACTGTGGAATGGGAGAAGTGGTTATTCAGATTGTGATGTCACTGATACAGAGATTAGCTATTAAATGCATTTTTTAGCTATCCAGCGCTTATTGGTTGTTGAATGGATGGGAGGTCACTGCACTCTCGAACCCGATTAGCAAAAGAAAAAACCATTATAGGTTATCTAAAACTTCATTTACAAGAGGATTTTCACGCCCAGAAGGAATTCAAACTAAGTTAGAGTATGAGCTCTTACGTTCATGCAAATATAAGTAAGAGGGGAACGGGAATGAAAAATTTTGCGTGAGGGGGTAAAGAATATCATGCAGGTCATATTGATTTCAGTACAGTGTCTAAGTACATTGCAGAAATCCTTTATTTTCTAGATTTGGAGCTTGCGAACTTAAAACTTTATTAACTCGTTAGTTTATCTCCGCTTAATCTCATATTCCTTTTTCTTTATTGAAACCTATTAATTTTAATACAGCTACTTCTAAGCAATTGAATATTGTAAACAAATATTGCGGATTATTATGATTTTTAGGCTAATGATTAAGAACGGCTACGGATTTAACTGAGAAATGTAGAGAAAAATTGATAAAAATTAATTAACTAGTAAGGTAGTTGCAACTAAGGATTGCATATACATTAAAATTAAAATTGCAATGTTACTGAAATAATGTGGCACAATTGTAAAATTGAAATATTAATAATTCTACTGAAGAATGAAGCAGCTGGAAACATTTTGTAACAAATTAGTAAAAGAACTGAGACAGAGTTCTAAGCCTTATAGTTGATATTAATCCATATAGGCCATATTAATTGATAATTACGAATATAATACGAAATAAAGCAGAAGGCAGAACTTATACCATAACAAATGAGCGTGATAAAGCATAATGATGGTTTATATTAAATATAGAACTGTTTTTGGGCTTTATGACAAGCTGTTGTTCTATTGTGTGGCTAAATTTTGTTAGGTTGAAAATTAATACACGAAAAATAGTAATTTGCAATGTGATCAGTTAAGAGTAACTAAGTCATACAAACCATGTTGAATAGTTAATAATCAATTATAATTCAAGGAGGTAATACCAAAATCGTTAATTTTTCCTTTCATGAAAGCATTTGTTACCTCTTTTATATATCCTTTTGCAATGGCAATATAATTTTTTTACTTACATCTCTATCTTGTTCAGTCTCATTTCTATGGTTAAAATCAAATTAACCGTGGTTCAGAAACATTTACCATTTCTTTGCTTAAATCGTGTAATAATCATGACGTAAAGAAGAATGACTTTCTTTGGCCAAATAATTGGCTCAAAGATGCATAATGCTATATTATGTTCCCACAACAATATATTTATCATATTAAAAGAAATTTAACAAATGAAAACTTACCTAAAGTTAGTGCGCAGAACTCAATCAAATAAAAGAAAATAATTCCTAATGTAGATATGTTGATAATCGCATTTGAGTTGTATTTTCATCAAAGCGTTAAATATATTTAAGTTCGATATAAATAGTAAAACATTAAGATATTGTTTTCCTAAAAATAACAAATGTCTATTCAATTGAAGTTAGTGGCTAATATTAAATTTGCTAAAAATATTTATAAATATATGTGGCATTATATACTCAAATGTTTTCAAAATATTAAGTTTAATCTCATTTTTATAAATTTTTTGGCGAAATACTGGATAAGGGACTCTTTTAATTACGGCAATTTTTGTTTTGCCAAGCTAATTACAGCCGTTTTGTTATCGTCCACAGTTCTAATCGAGGCTCTACTTATTGGCTGGGATATTGCTTCGGTTCTTGGAATGGGAAAATCAGTATGTTTGTTTTTTATGTTAAAATATCACACCTTATACTAATTCGATCACATTTCTTTGATAGCGAGGTAATAAGTATCGTGTTGCGACGGAGAGTAAGAAGGATGGAAAGAAGAATCTGAATGAGCTCAAGCAGGAACTCGCTATGGATGAGCATCAAATTTCCTTGGATGAACTATATGCTCGACTTGGCACAAATCCTGATACCGGTCTGACCAGTGAACAGGCCAAGTATATATCCTTATATTTTGTTTATTGTTTTACTTTCTCAGAACCCGTTTGGAAAGGGATGGTCCTAATGCTCTTACCCCTCCCAAAACCACGCCCGAATGGGTCAAGTTTTGCAAAAATATGTTCGGAGGCTTCTCCATCCTTCTTTGGATTGGTGCAGTTTTGTGCTTCACTGCTCATGGTATTACTTCTCGTGTACATGAAAATCCCACAAATGATAACGTATGCTTCCATTTATTTCCATAATCGGTAATAATGCCCCCTTTAGTTGTATCTTGGAATTGTATTAGCTGTTGTTGTCATTGTTACTGGTTGCTTCTCATATTATCAAGAATCTAAATCGTCCAAGATTATGGAATCCTTTGCCAAGATGGTTCCTCAGGTAATTTTTATTAAACGTCGAAGCTTGTGAACCTCTTTTTCTAAAATATTTATTTTACTTTTCCTAGTATGCTGTTGTAATTCGTGGTGGACAGCGAATTGATGCTCCAGCTGAAGCGTTGGTTGTTGGTGATATTATTGATGTCAAATTTGGGGATCGTGTTCCGGCCGATATTCGTGTGATTAAAGCTAGTTCATTTAAGGTGAGTTGCCTCTTTTAGCCCAAGTGTAAAAATTCTTTATATGTTTGATCGCGTTATTTTCGTAACCTCATGGTTAGCATATGCAAACCGCATTTGATTAATTATTGGTTTATTGGGAGAATTAAACTTTTATGGCGTGTTTTCATTTAATGCGGCGACCTTAAAATGTTTTTCGATTGCCCTCATGTGAATGATACGGCTGGTTGGATTCGAATGATGTGTGTGTGTGGTATTTCTAAGGTGACGTTAGCATGTAATGTCAGTAAATACATTCGTTTATTTTCAGGTTGATAACTCTAGCTTGACTGGTGAGTCCGAGCCTCAGACAAGAACACCAGAATATACAAATGAGAACCCTCTTGAGACAAAGAATTTGGCTTTCTTCTCAACTAACGCTGTTGAGGGTAACTGTCGGGGTGTTGTGGTAGCCACTGGTGATCGCACAGTGATGGGTCGAATTGCAAACTTGGCTTCTGGTCTAGAGATGGGTTCAACGCCTATCGCTCGTGAGATTGCTCACTTTATTCACATTATTACCGGAGTCGCTGTCTTTTTGGGTGTCACCTTTTTCATCATCGCCTTCATACTTGGCTACTACTGGCTCGAAGCCGTTATTTTCCTGATCGGTATCATTGTTGCCAATGTCCCTGAAGGTCTTTTGGCCACTGTCACAGTATGCTTAACACTCACTGCCAAGAGAATGGCTAGTAAAAACTGTTTGGTGAAAAATTTGGAAGCTGTAGAAACATTGGGCTCAACTTCAACTATTTGCTCTGATAAGACTGGCACATTGACTCAAAACAGAATGACTGTTGCTCACTTGTGGTTTGATAACAAAATATACGAAGCGGATACATCTGACGATCAATCAAGTAAGTACCATATTTTTTACCGTCATCGCTATGTTAAATCAGTTTATTAGGAGATCTTTCATTTTCCATTTTTAGCTGCCAATTACAATCGTGACTCTCCAACATTGAAGGCTCTTTTCCGAATTGCCATGCTTTGTAACCGGGCTGAATTTAAACCCGGAGAAGAATCTAAACCAGTGCTCAAGCGAGAATGCAATGGAGATGCTTCTGAGTCTGCTCTACTTAAGTGTGTTGAACTAGCGAATGGCGGTGTAACTGAATTCCGTGCTGCAAACACCAAAGTTGTTGAAATTCCTTTTAATTCAACTAATAAATATCAAGTCAGTGTTCACGAAACAAACGATGATGATGATCGTTACCTCGTTGTGATGAAGGGTGCTCCAGAGCGTATTTTGGATCGTTGCTCCACTATCTTGGTTGATGGTAAGGAAATTCACATGGATGACCAGTGGAGAGAAAATTTCAATAACGCTTACCTTGAACTCGGTGGTATTGGTGAGCGTGTTCTTGGTTTCTGTGATCTCCGTCTTCCTGCTGATCAATTCCCTCGGTTAGTATCAATTTTCTATTGATTCTCCAGTGCTCATATCTCTCAACGAATCTAATAAATATTTTATCTTAACTGTTTGCAGTGGCTTTAAGTTTGATGTTGATGAACAAAACTTCCCGATCGATGGCATGAGATTCGTCGGCTTAATGTCCATGATTGATCCTCCTCGAGCAGCTGTACCTGACGCCGTGTCAAAGTGCCGTTCCGCTGGTATCAAAGTCGTTATGGTTACTGGTGATCACCCTATCACTGCCAAAGCAATTGCCAAAGGTGTCGGTATCATTTCTGATGGGAACAAGACTGTTGAGGACATTGCTGCTGAACGCGGTGTTCCGGTTAGTCAAGTGAATCCTCGCGAAGCTAGCGCTTGTGTTGTACATGGCTCTGATCTCCGTGAAATGACTCCCGCTCAAATCGATGAAATTCTTGAGAATCACTCTGAAATTGTCTTTGCCCGTACTTCGCCTCAACAGAAGTTAATCATTGTTGAAGGCTTCCAGCGAATGGGTGCCATCGTCGCCGTCACCGGTGATGGTGTCAACGATTCTCCAGCCTTGAAGAAAGCTGATATCGGTGTGGCTATGGGAATCACGGGTAGTGATGTAAGCAAGCAGGCTGCTGATATGATTCTTCTTGATGACAACTTCGCTTCGATTGTCACAGGCGTTGAAGAAGGCCGTATTATATTCGATAATCTGAAGAAGTCCATCGCCTATACTCTCACCTCAAATATTCCTGAGATCACACCTTTCTTAGTCTTCATTTTGGCGGATGTTCCCCTGCCTTTGGGTACCATTACTATTTTGTGCATCGATCTTGGTACAGACATGGTTCCAGCTATTTCCTTGGCCTATGAAGAAGCTGAGAGCGATATCATGAAGCGTATGCCTCGTGATCCCTTCCGTGACAAGTTGGTGAATGAACGTCTCATCTCCATGGCCTATGGTCAGATTGGTATGATTCAAGCCTCGGGTGGTTTCTTCGTGTACTTTGTCATAATGGCAGAGAATGGTTTCTGGCCTTACAGACTTTTGGGCCTGCGGAAACAATGGGATTCCCCCGCTATCAACGATGTTGCCGACTCCTATGGACAGGAATGGACTTATAATCAACGCAAAAGGCTTGAATACACCTGTCATACTGCCTTCTTTGCTTCAATCGTCATTGTCCAGTGGACAGATTTGCTCATTTGTAAAACCCGTAAGAATTCCATTTTCCAACAGGGAATGTGGAATCACCATCTCACCTTTGGACTCTTCTTCGAAACTTCTTTGGCCATCTTCCTCTCTTATTGTCCTGGTTTTGAGCAAGGTTTGAGAATGATGCCTCTGAGATGGACTTGGTGGCTGCCTGCGCTTCCATTCAGTGCTTCGATTTTCATCTTTGATGAGGTTCGTAAGAAGCTTCTGCGCACCTTACCACCAGGCAACTGGGTTGAACGGGAGACGTACTATTAGTGCGATTGTACGATCAATCTCAATTTAATGGATAGCAATTAAGGTTCCCTCTCCCTTTAGCGTCTCTTCCCCCTCTCTCCCCCCACTTATTGTTTCTTTATGTTGAACTCAGTTACCACCTTATTATGTAGCGTCCAATAGTTTGTACAACAATCGATCCACTCTAAGCCTTTTCTCACATTTTACTCTGTGTGTGAATTTTAACCATCTTTTTTTCGTTCCCTTTCTTTCCTCTTTCCCCATCCTTTTGACATGTAGTTGAGGTTTTGAACCTATCTAAAATGGATGTTTACTGGTATTTTCCGTTTTCTGGTCTTATTCGATAATATTGCTAGTCAGAAGTTTCTAGTATTAATCGAAAGCCAGGTGGTAGTTATTGCTAAAAGAGGTGTAAAGATCTTGGGTAGAAGAATGGAAAAATATTGCCAAAAATCATGTTAATCTGGCAAAATGAATTACTCGTGTAGAATCTTTAATTTTGCTGTTGAATTCCTTGGATATGATTAAGGTAAGACAAGCTAGATGGTCACTATTAGCTAATATATTTAATTGTAAATTGGGAGCAAAGGTCGAAATACTACCCTCCGAGGTCAGAATGATGTGGGGCAAATGTGATCTTGTCGTAATTATTCCTATGGAAAAATACACAAATGTGTCTTCGTAATTGCAACCCTAATCAGAACCTAATGGAAGAACAGAAACTTTGGAGGAATTTGTTAGTACGGCTATTTGGGGCTTTAGCTGATAAACCTTAGTTTAGAAAACCTGAAAGCGATGAGTACGAAAGTGAGGAGGTAATTTTATCACAATTCTTTTGTGCTAGAATTCCGTCTTTATCTAAGATGTATAAATGACTAACGTACTGAAGTACCAACAATTTCGATCTTATACTTACTATTACTGTGAATTCGTCATTCATTGGTGGAATATCATGACAAATTTTAACATTTGGGAAAAAATTATGCTGAATCTCCTGGTAATTAAATATTCACTATGTCGATTCCGAACTAAATATTCCGAATACTTAACGAATACGTTTTGAAGCGTATGGGTACAGCGAATTCGAACGAATAAACTGGAACTTAACCAAGCATTGAACGTGAACGAATAACAGAAACACTCTTATAAGCTTGAAACCTATGCTACCAGTGCCGGGCCCTTGTTCAAAATACTTAAAAACTCTTTAAATTTTGCAATTCATTTAAAATTAATACTAATGAGAACTTTACCGCTGTAATTCACTTTCATTTTTAAGAAAATACAACCGAAATTGAAATTTTAATGCTGCAACAAAATTCCGATGGTCTCTTTATTACCTAATTGATTCGTCACATTTTGGATCTAGGGTCAGATTTAGTTCATTTATTCAGTTCAGCACAATTTCTACCCAAGGATAGAGAATCTCCTTAAATAAGTCAGCCCAGGTTATTAGGAGTGGGATAATTTTAGATCATTTATTTATCTGAATTACAGATAAGTACATGAAATTACGCTCCTGAAAATTTTATCAAACTATTTCCCATCAAGACGCCTTCATGTCGGTATTATTCTGAGGCAAATGACAGTCGTGTCAAAGCAGAAATCAAAGAAACTATCATAAATGTGTAATATTCTGATAATGCTGTTTCATAGGCGCTTGATGAAAGAATTAGACATTTAAATTAATGTATATGCATCATGGAACTCAGCTTCATTCACAATAAATGCGGCTTATTGGTGCCTGAAGAAGAAGCCTGAAGGTTCAGTAATTGATTACGGTTGCAGGTGGGTGTGATATTTTAGCATTTTGCGCCCTTGACCTTAATTACTCTGTTTCAGTTTACAACAAATTTAAGCCAAAAAATTATATTTCCAATGTCACCACTTGTCAGACATGTCGACTTTCCCAGTGTATCATGTTGGTAAAGTGTTGTGTGACAATTCCCCGATATTAACAAAATGAGTTGGATTTATTTTGACCGAAACCCGGATAAGCTAAGACAAGTACTATTTCAACTTGAATTTCGGATAGTAAAAGCATGGATCCGCTTCAAGTAAATAGCACACCTAAACAGACTTCAATCAAATTTGTGCACAAGGACCAATGTACAACTCTCCACGTACAAGAATTACTTACGGTGATTTTTATTTGATTTAAAATTATACATACTTCCAAACGTTTAGAGCAATTAAGCTATGCTTCATATTATATTAGGCAGGATTTGATAAATAATGATTTAATAACCTGAATGTATCTTCTTAAACTTATTTAATACAAAGAGCCTTTAGCCCCGTTTATGGAAAGCCACGGGCATATGGGAACATCCTTTTAAGAACATTTTTTCCTACTTTTATCAGTAGATCAGCATGTTTAACACTTCCGTAATTCGACTGTTAATTAATTGACTATGCATATAATAAGTTAGAAAGAGTGAGCAAATCGTGGTATATCTTATTGTATTTCAGTAATTATAACTATAAGTACAAAAACTGCAAATGTTCGGAATGGATGCAATACTTCTTTGTGCTTGCCTACTGACTGATCCTAACGTCTTGGTGACAATTGCTCCCTCTATCAAGTAGGGATTATTTAAGATTCTAAAGGATCTGAAAATTGAGGTGCATACTCTTATGAAGCACACTGTTTTTCACATATCCTTAGGATTACTATCAATTCAGACATTGAAAAACCCAAATTTCTTTTTAACGATATTTGGCTTAGTCGATAAAGGCATAGAAAATTTTTAAAAGGGAAAGCATATAGCTCCCATATGAAGCATAAAACATTGCCAAGAGCGCTGAATGTTTGGCCATTCCTCACTTTTCATTTAAGATTACTATGTGAGGAATGATTCAGAATTTGGGTTTGGCTGACTCGCCTTTAATATACACTTAGATCAGATAAAGTTGTTTGTATTCAGGATATCATTTTGCCCAGTGTGTCTAATAACTCTGATGGACTATTTGGTTGTTTAAATGACTACCTAAGCTCCTCCTAGCAAAATCGTATGATCTATATATAAAAATATAATGACAAGAGTTCATCAACAGACAAATATTATTGTTACCTGAGCAGAATTCATAGTTAAATTATTAGTTATTATTACATTAGATGCTAACAGTGCACCATGAGCTGAGTTATTTGCAATTCTCACTGCTGCTCGCAACGTCCAAGCCATCTCCATTCCCATTGGCTACTACAAGAAGGCTATTTTTAGCTCACTTCAAACCACTTCAGACCAGGTTAGTGGGTTAAACCCAGGTGGGGTGCGAAACTCCACACCAAATTTACTTCAATAGACTGAAAAATCCTGTCTCTAACAGTAAGGGGGCAAATAAGGTGATTACGCTGGAATAAAACATCTAATGCCCTAGAACTAAATGTATAAATTTGCGGAATGTTCTTGAAAATAATCGAAATACTTTCTAACTTTGCATCAAATTAGCGTTACGCATTTGTATTTCAGATCTGCTGCTTATTTCTGAAATATTAATTTCTTCAATAGTAAAACTATGTCAATTTTCTTAAAAGCGCCTAAGTCGTACTGAAATTAGAGGTGAAAATACGTAATTTAAAATCGTCTCTTGAATTACAGTTGATTTGTGAGGTACCTCCAGCATAAAGTTCAATCTTCAGAGGGTCCCTATTCGATAGTTCATTTCAAGAGTGCAAGTGTTTTGTGCGGTACAAAAGTAGTCCCATTGCAATCTAAATAACTTGGCCTTTCCGTCATGATTATTACGCTAATTAGTGTCGTGAATTTAATACTGCGAAATGGGAGAAGGCATGCTTTTACCGTTATTTATGGTGAAGATTTCAATGAGGACGTCTAATTTAGGGCTGGAGATACGAGTTAACTACTTTTTCTAAATTTAAGTATCACCTTCTGCGCAGAATTTTAATATCTGGATTTGACCAATAGCTGCTTGGTAGCTACTTGTATCTGTTTCAGCTCTGTGCTGAAATAGACGTTATTAACATTCCCGTTGCCATTTTTCATTATTGTTTTACTAATAAGAATTTCTTCAGGGTGTTATTTATTACACTGTTAGTACCCCAAAATTGCTAATGAAAAAAATTCATTGTTCTTTACTGATTATTTATATTTTACTGTGAATGTCTAATATACCACACTAAGTGTCCCAAGATGAGTTCTATATTTTGCGTCATGTGCTCAAGAATGACTTCAACAAACGAACTAGACTTTGTGTTCAGCTACAATTCTACCTCTTATAAGTCTAGGTAGAAAGTATGCTCCATAATATGAATTCTCTTGGTATGGAAATTAATAAAGATATTGCAAGTAGTTTGCTTAATTAAACGTTAGTTTTAATCTATTTTATTATTATTGATAGTTTATTTTTTATTTCGAATTTGGTCCAATATAGAAATTAATGTAAGAGTAAATAAAACAGACTTCCGCTACTTCAATCAATACTTCAACAGCCAATCAGAATTAACTTTACAGATGTAATAGATTTATGAATTTCGGCGATTAAAGCCGTACTAACTAAAGCACCCGTTTTGGTTTTTGAAAATGGTGATCAGAGTCTGACTCGATATTGTCATGTGACCTTAAAGATATGGTTGTTATAACGAAAAGCGCATTTAAGACTTGACGATGATAATTTCAAGAATGACCTCCGGAAAGTTCAATCACATGCTATGAGCCAAAGCTACAGTAGCAAACGCTGCATCATGCGGACCGCCTTCTTTGTTGCCCCTATTAGTCGCTTCCTTGTTAGTGGCCTAGAGTAGTCATTTTGCTACTTGTATGAGCTGTCTTGGGTTAATAATTCTATTATATTATGTCGGCACAGTAGATTAATTGTGAATTTTTTTTACCTATTAATTAGGTAAATAGGAAAATTGGCATGCTTGTAAATGCCTTAAATTTGTTTATCATTTAAAAACTGAATGCTGACTCAGTGATGTTTTACATATTTCAGAATTTTTCAGCTTCCCTACCTTTACCAATTACTGGTAGTTTCTTGAAATTAATCTAATTTTAAAATGAATA